AAGATTCAAGTATTCCTTGTAAAAATTTAAATTTTTTAAAATAAGGGGAAAATGCCCTACACTAAATGTCCCTTTTAGAGAAGCAACATGGAGAGGTGGAGAGTATCCTAGATTTAGAATCAGAAGACCTGGGTTCGCATCCCAACTGCTGCTTATCTGTGTGACCTTGAGATTGTTACTTAATCTCACTAGTTCTCAGTTTCATTGCTTGTAAAATGAAGGGGTGAGAACGGACCCCAAGTTCCCTTCCAGTTCTAAATCTAAGAACCCAAATTGGAAAGACTGCGGGAGCGTTCAACCTGTGTTTTATATACATACATACCTACATACATACATGTATGTATATACCTGTATACTTATATTATACATGTGTGTGACATTTTTATTTATGTATGAATTAGCAAGTTATAAGGGACCTGAGATACAAATAACTGGCTGTTTTCATGATGGCTTTTTACTGATTAATCACAAAACCATAGATTAAGCTCTAGAAGGAATCTCAAAGGTCATGGAGGTTGAACCTTTCATTTTGAAGATCAGGAAACTGAAGGCCAAAGATGCTGAGTGACTTGCCTAAAAAGCTAAACAGAGGGTAAGCAGAAGAGCTGGGATTTGAACCTGGGTTCTCTGACCCCTAACTCAGTAGCCTTTCCCCTACAACATGCTGCCTCCATTGATAAAGAAGTTCTAACATTTTTTTAAAAAAAATCACGTATTTGGTAACTTTGTCCTCCAACTGCTAGATTTTTGTAGAAAATGAAAAGTTTAATAAAAGAGCACTGTAACCCAGCATGATATAAATTTTAAAGCACTAATGATTACGTTTTTTTTTTTCATTTTTATTATTATTGCACAGCCCAGCAGACTAGGGGCTTCCTACCACTCCTTCCCCAGGCCAGCTGAACACGTGCCACGTGCGTGCTACTCACTCCTTACCAGTTGTAGCTGGGGAACTTAGTGGATCCTCCTCTCTTCTTCCACTTCGATCCACTCTCTCCCATTTTCAAAAATTTTCTTTGTTACGATTCTCCTGCCATTCACTATCTGACTGCAGGTGGTGACCTGTCTGTAGTGACCCACGCCGCCGCTGCCCACGAATGGTATGAAGGACCAAGTGGAGCCTGCGTTTCTTCCAGAACTCAGCGTCACAAAGGTGGAGAACCCTGTGCCCAAAACAGGAGCCGCGTCAAAAAGGGAAGCGTGATACCTTCCCTCGGCCTGGGGCTGGCGCCAGCCCCCGACGCTGCTCATGCGGCTGGTTGATAAAAAATCCCCTGAGAAGAGGTCATCCCCATCACAAGTGTTGTGAAAGACGCCGTACGGCCTTTGGAACAACAGATCTCCATCTAGCCGGCTCGTCTCTCGGCTGTCGTCGCCCTCGTCTTCTCTTCGGATGTAACTCTCTCTGGAACTGTCGTAGTCATCGCGTTTCCTGGCATCTGACAAGACCTCGTAGGCCTCGGCTACTTGTTTGAATCTCTTCTCTGCCTCTTCCCTGTTCTCTGGGTTCTTGTCAGGATGCACCTGCAAAGCCAGCTGGTGGTAAGCCTTCTTGATGTCAGCTGGCGAGGCATCCCGAGGTACCCCCAGAATTTTATAATAATTCACCATGCTTTTTCACCGGACTTAGGAACAGCATTAAGTCATCCGCTCCACTCAACAGCCTCTTGCCTGAGGAATTTCCTCACACTCGTGAAGGCTTGCTATTCTAACCAAACACAAGATCCACCTCCCTCCCCTTCCCTACCACATTGTTTCCTTGGTAGAAATTTTCTTTTGGGGAAGAAACCCCACTTTGGTGTCCTCTGGAATTTCCAACCTCCTGTCTTCAGTAGGTCATTGCCAGGGATGGAGTGATTGTGAGCTCAGAATTCTCAGCCAATGACTCTGCGGTCTGAGTTTTACCTTGAGATCCTATTGGTGGAAATGGTAGGATCATGGCACAGAAAGAATGATGAAGTGTTCTGAAGGGCCCTGAAAGCCAGTGCTGGGCTCACCTGGTGATGGGGATGAGTTTTCTGTCAGCCTTGGCTCAGAAAAGAGATGAGCGCTGCATCAGCTTGAAGCATCAGTCAGAAAAAGCAGGCTTTGCATTCGCATCAGACACAAAATCCATTTCAGCTCTTTGTGAGGGTTAGGACTTTCAGTGACCTAATGGAGTTATGAGCCTGTGTTACCTAACACTCATTGCTAGTAGTTGGTAGAGGAGAAAGGAGCTATATTATCAACAGTTAACATATATACATCTCACCCTAGGAGGGAAGAAGCAGAACGATCCTTATTTTCACTTGTAGGGAACCTTGGGATAAAAGATGTCTTAACAAACAGGAGAAGAACTGAAAGCTTATAGATTTCAAGCTGGAAGGGGCCTTATAGGACATCTTGGCCCCTCATGTTGGATTTACTACGGGCCTCCACTCTGTGCGAGGTGCCGCAGTTGAGGCAAAAGGCAAAAAGCGAATCAGCCCCTCTGCTAAAGCTCACATTCTATCAAGATGGACGACGCATACTTAATAAAACAAACATGGGCTACTTATAGATACATACGATGATTTGGGGACAGCTAACAACTGGGAGGAGTGAAGGAGAAAGCGTGCCACATTGCGCTCCTAGGACCCAGCTTTTGTCTCGTACCTACTAGAGCGTCTCCTGAGTTGTAGATGGGTAATGAACATTTGATGAATCACTCTTGGATGAACTGGCTTCCTTTTTGTTTTTTGCTTCAAAATGATGACCTTTAAAATCACCTTTGGACCCCCAAGTATAATACGTATTTATCCATCATCAATTAAAACAGTTGAAAAATCATGCGTAAGAGTGATTAAGCGTAATGTCCTGCTTCCAGGTCATTTAAAAAAACACCTTGAGTGAATCACAAATGTAGCCATCTGTATTCTTCTGATCAGAACAGCAAACAGGAAAACAACAAGTTATGAATAATCAAGATCATAGTAGCTAGTGTTTATATTTTGCTTTAAGGTTTGCAAATTACAGATATCTCATTGGACAGATGAGCTAAATCTCAAATAAACAGGAAAAAGCCAGGAAACCTCATGAGTGGATCTTATTGAAATACTTTTCTTTTGAACCAAAATGCACATCAGGCCCACCCTCCTTTCCAATTAAAAGTGTTTTGTTTGTTTTTTTTTTTATGCAGCCACCCCCAAGAGATAGAATTGAGTACCTACCAACCCAATTTGCTACAAAAGAAAATTTCACCTGCTGAGCAAGATCTAATTCCTTCACTGACTCTGACTGTAAAATAGGCCAGAGGGTCTAGGATCATGAGGGCAAGGAAGTAAGTGGTGTTGTAGGAGAAAGAGGAAAAATGAACTGTGAAACAATCACTGCTTCACTGAGACAGCAAAGATGAATGTTGTTGGGGTAGAGTCGTGTCTGACCTTTCATGACCCCATTTGGGGTTTTTTTGGCAAGGATACTGTAGGGGTTTGCCATTTTCTTCTCTGTTCATTTTACAGATGAGGAAACTGAGGCAAGGAGCGTTAGATGACTTGCCTGTGGTCATACGGCTAGTAAATGTCAGAGGCCAGATTTGAACTCAGGAAGACGAGTCTTCGTAACTCCAGGCACTTTATCCACTGGACCACCCAACTGCCCCACAAAGAAGAATAGCAATATTAAACACTCTAGGAGTGAACCCCAGTCCAACAGGGACAGCCATCATCTTACAGAATGGATAAGACAAGGAATTGATTGATATCTATTGATGTTGTATATTAAGATGTCTTTAGAAGGAATTGTGGGTTTCCATTCTTGTGAGTCTTCAGTTAAAACCGTTTTTCTTATTGATCAGTTCTGGAAGACTGAAATTCCATAGGTCAGGTGACGATACAGGGAAGGATACTTGTATTCAATTTTTAAAAATTCAATTTAATATTTTGCCATTGATTGTAGGGTCTTCCCAATTTAGTCAAGAATTCCAAGTGTCATTTTCTGACACATTGTGCTTTCAATTACTGGCTATTTTGTTGTGCATTTTATATTTGTTCTGATGAGTTTTAATAATTTTTTTTTGCATTTGCATGCATTGAAATTCTCATCCATGGCAAATGTTCAATATCATTTCCTTCCTTTCTCATGATGCTCCCTAACACTTTAAACATTCCTGAAGTTTGAAATATCAAGGTGTCAAGGTTTCTTGAAGGTTTTCGGACCTTGGTTTTTACAGGAAAAAATCTCCTAGTGGAACTAAATGTAACTTCCATATCGGAGGGGTCTTATTTCTCTACTAATATCTTATTTGTATGACCCCTGGCAATTCACTTCATCTCTCTAGGATTCTCTAATTTCTTCATCTGTAAGAATGAGGGGGTTGGGTGAGCTAGCCTTACAAGGTCTCTTTGATTCTATGGTCTTCATTGTGGCAGAAGTTCTCAAGGCAGGTAGGACTTATTCCACACTGGAAATGACCTCCCATCCAAGGACCAACCTCACTACATTAGAAAAGCTTATTAACAGGATTGGGCAGCTAGGTGGCACCATAGTGCATAGAGCACCCGGTCTGGAGTCAGGAAGACTCATTTTCCTGAGTTCATATCTGGCCTCAGACAATTTCTAGCTGGGTGACCCTGGGCAAGCCACTTTAACCCTCCTTGCCTCAGTTTCCTCATCTGTAAAAAGAGCTGAAGAAGAAAATGGCAAACCACTCCAGTATCGTCGCCAAGAAAACCCCAAATGGGGTTGGGCACAGCTGAAATAGGACCGAATGACAACACTTAATAAGGTTACCAAAAGGGATGGCATTTTTGGCTATTGCAGCTTAAGAGGACAGCCAGCTGTATTAAAGCGGGGTTGTGAATGCCATCAATGGAGAACATATATACCCGCTAAGAAGAAGACTCTTCAGAATACTTCTTCCTGAAGCCCCCTACTCATTTGGAGGTAGTTGTTTTTTCTTTATGAGAAGCAACAAGGTGTATTTTATTTGATTTGATTAGTGAGCTCCCATCTACCCTCCGGAAAGAATCACAAATAATCAGTGATCCGGTCATTTGGGAAAATGTCATCCTGCCTAACTTTTTTTTTCCTTCTAAAGGGGAAAAGATGTTTCAAGTGAACAAGTTCAGCAGAAATGCTTAGTGAGGAACTGTAGATGGTGAAAAACTGTTCTACTCAGTGTGTTTTGGGTGAGTGACGGAATAATAGAGTGAAACTAATTCAGCATCATGGGTTGTGTTCTATGATGTCATAACACTGAAAAAAGAAAATTGTCTTAAGAGCAAGTAACATTCTAGGGACACAGCTGTTGATGTCACTCAAGTTGTAATGGCTTGAGGCACCTATGTGACAATGACAAGAAGAGAGGGAAAGTGTTGGCTTTAGGGGCTCTATCTTCCCAGAGGTTTGAGAAGCAGGCAGGGAGAGGCAGACAGGGAAGAATCATAGGTAGAACTGCGAAGGTAAAGGCGCTTTTGCTGCCATGACCTAGAGTTGGTATTCAATGGGAAGAGTGTCCATGCCTCACTGGATTGACAGACCTTCCCTCCTCTGTTGATATCATGTGGCATCAAGCTTGGGGATTGTGATAGCCAGAACCAATGTGAAAAAGAGTTCCGGATTTCGAGTCCCCGGATTTCCTTTGTTAAGTCATTCTCTCCCACTTAGACTTACGAGGCTCTGGGCAAGTCATGTCACACCACTGGGGGCCTCGATGGCTTCATCTGTAAAGTGAAGGGGTTGGAAGCCATGAAGTCAGCATGGGGTAGTGGAAGGGACCTTGGCTCAGGAGTTAAGGGATCTGGGTTCAGATTCCCATCTCTGAGGCTGTAGGACATTGGGTAAATCACTTAGACTTCCTGGGTCTCAGTTTCTTCATCTGTGCAATGGGAGGGATGGACCAGTTGGCCTCTGAGGTCTCTTCTGGCTCCAGATCTTTACCTGAAGTCCAATCCTACCTCGGACTTGTAGGGGCAAATCCCGTCACCTCTCTGTGCTTCAGTTTCCTTATCCACGAGATGAAGGGAATTTACTGGAATGGTCTCTAAGGTGGCTTCCCGATCTAAATCTAGGTTCTTATGATCCTACGACATCAGGCAAGAGGGCAGGGCACCAAGATGGTGAGAAATGACGCTCTTTGAAAGCTGGCACCACTTTATTGGTGATGTAGTAGATAGAGTGCTGAGCCCGGAATCAGGAAGGCTCATCTTCATGAGTTCAAGCCTGGTATCAGACACTTACTAGCTGTGTGACCCTGGGCAAGTCACTTCACCTTGTTTGCCTCAGTTTCCTCACCTGTAAAATGAGCTGGAGAAGGAAAAGGCAAATGATCCAGTATCTCTGCCAAGAAAACCCAAATGGGGTCACAGAGAGTGGGACATCAAGTGAAACAACTGCTTTATTTTTTGTCTCTCCGCCCCCTCCCTTCCCCCTAGTGCCTACCATCATGCGTGGCACATAGAACATGAGCAACACATTCTTGTTGACTGCCACAAAGATCCATTGAAAGGAAGTCGAAATATTTGCCTGGAGAAGAGCAGATCGGGGAGTGGAGAATGGACAGAGTACAAAAAGCTGTCATCGAGTATCTGAAGGAGTATTTGAGAGAGCATTGATGTAGTGAGAAGAATACTAGATTTAGAGTCATTTGATGGCAAGAACAACCATAAGAATAGCAAACACTTATATAGCAGGCACCCTACAATTAGTGTCTCATTTGATCCTCACAACAACCCTGGAGGTAGGTGCTTTTATTGTCCCCATTTTATAGATAAGGAAACTGAGGCAGGCAGTAATTAAATGACTTGTCCAGGATCACACGGCCAATAAGTGTCAGAGGCTAAATTTGAACCCCAGGTCTTTCTGATTCCAGGCCTAGCATTCCATCGACTGTACCACCTAATGGCCCAGGGCAATATGACCATGTGACTCTTCCTCTAAGCCTCAGTTTTCTTATCTCTGAAATGGGGATAATAATGCCTATAGAATTTATCCACTCTCACTACCCCACCCTGGGCAACTGCATGGATCAAATGAGGGAACAGGTGTTCCAGAGCCCTTTGCAAATTTTAAAGCGTTATATTAATGACTCTTATTATTATTAACATCATGAGGAAGAGGGCTAAGCTTTCTTCTGCTGGCCCCCAGAGGGCAGAAGTAGGGACAGCAGATATAAGCCACAGGGGTGATGCCAAAGTAGAATGAGCCACCTTGGGAGGCAGCCGGGTCCCCCTCATTGGAGGTCTTCAGGCAGTAGCTAGCTGACCCATCGGGGAAGTTGTGGGAGGTACAGCCTGTGCAGAAAATACACCAAGGTCCCTTCCGATGCTGAGATTCTATGGGATAACGTGTTGATCAATCAGCACAGAACCATCCATGGAAAAACAACTCCAAGTGAATGCATTAATGACATGTCAATGGTCAGAAGGAGACCACATTTTCCCTTCAAGAGGTCCTTTTTGCACACGGCTCTGAAGTCATTTCCCAGGAATTAGCTGCAACAGAAGATTGTACCCCAGACAGGCCCGGTGATACAGAGAATAGGGAACCAAGTGGAGGTCTCCAAATTGGTCCAGCAGCCCTGCTGGACACCAGTCCACACAGTCCAGGACTGCTCCTGGCCTCCAAACAAACCGCACTTAATGGCCTGACATCCTCACAGGTGGGAAAAGGCAACAACCGAAACTGGTTGCTATAGCAACACCCTAGCCAATAACAGGCTCTTTAGCCCGGCATATGCAGAAAGACACACTTTGAAAGTCAGCAATGGTGGACCTGTCCAGTGAGGCAGGATGGCTGCAGTAATAAGGCAGTGAACTTCTGACTTCAGTCAAGAGCTAGGCCACAATGCCGTTGCCTTGAGTCCACTGTGGACTAAGCCCGTTCTAGGTTCTGTTCCATCAAGACCGTGCTTCCTGTGAAGTGGCAAGGCAGAGTCCAGGGAGCAGATCAAAGGATACCCCACTGCTTTGGGGGGGCAGGGGTCCCTCAGCTGCTATAACTGAAAGGGCTTGGCTGAGTCAAAAATTCCAGCCATCACTGGGACAAAGAACCTCTCAGTGTGTGGACTTTAAGGTGAGAGTCCATTGGAATAATTAAAATGTCTTGGAACTTTGCTGCCTATTAACCAAAAATGGAAGGCCCCTATCTTAAAATGATGGGAGAATCAGATTACCCAAGATTCGGGTTCCCCGTCATTAGGAAAAACACGGCCACTTGTTTGTCTTGTCTCCTTAAGGAAGACAACAAACGTCAGGTCAGCCCCAACTACTCTAGACTCTTGTCTATTCCTCAAGGAAGGAAAGAAAAATGATGAGAATTTAGAAGTTGCCAGAAGATTCCGAGTGTGTCTGGAGGATTCCTTAAGGCAGGCTCAGTCCCTTCTCCTCCCCTTCTTCTATGAGAATAAGAATCCATGTGGCTGCTGGACCACGCCCACACGACTTCAGTCCCCTGGGATTCTATTTCTCAGGCTCTAAGGTCAGCTGGATCAATACTGTAACAAGAAGTTATCTTTCTCCCTCGAAGCATTTCTAAATGAAAAAGCTTTAGGAAAGACCATTCCCATTTCAACTCCCAGTTTCCCTTTGCCAAACAAGTGAGGTCAGCCCTGGCAAGGTCTCTCTCCAAAGGACATCTCTGAGCTAAGCTATTTCCACTTCTGAAACACTTCATGGGATTCGTGAAGGGCTGGATGTGCAAAAAGAATATTTACCCCCTTCTTCTAATCTGGGCTGCAGCCAACTCAATTCAGAAAGCTTCAGGACAACTAGGACTCCAGCCTAGAGACATTTCTGCTAACTCATTTTGGCTAATCTTTTAAAATATCATTAAAAATTTTAGTTCAGAAGGGAGTCATTCAATTCCATCAATCCAAATGGACCATGCTTCTAATAACGAAGGTGAAACATATTCCAGCCTATCAGACACCTTTTGTGCATCTTTCCAAAACTAGGATTTTTGGAGTTACCAAATAAACAGAGGAAAAAAGACAAGGATCAGTTTTGAAGGAAGCCATGACAGCTAGCCAGCAGACTGCAGTCAACTCTGAAATTTACTCACATTGTGACATTAGACAAGTCACTTCAAGTCACAGCACCAACATTTTTTCATCTATGAAATGAGAAGGGTCATTGGACCAGGTGGTAAGCTTCCTTCCAGCTCTAAATATGCAATTCTATGTAGGCATCAGAATGTTGCCTGGAGCCTGTGTTAACCTCTCAGAGCCTCAGTTTCCTCATTTGTAAAATAGGGATAATAATGTTTGCACTAACAATGTCAGAGGACAGTTAGGAGAAACTCTTTAGAAACATGAGTTCCTGCTATTAGAACAAACGAAGATCCCCAACTCTTTTACACATCTGCCTCTCTGAAACTGAGCCAAATAACCAACAGCTGCAGATAACCAGAAGCTGAATGAAGAATGAAGTTTGGGACAGAAGGATGGATTCTTTTACTCATCAACATCCTGCAGCCCAGAAGGTTTCATTTTCTTTTATTAAATGTTAGGAAACCCTCCACCAAAATTCCCATCCTCCACTTCACTGTCACATATCTATGACCTTATATTCTCCAAGGCTCTGCAAATAGAGCCCAACCTCCGGGGGCTCCTACCTAGCTAGAAAAGTTTGCAGTATTGACTCATTGAGGGATGATCTATAGGTCAGCTGTGCAAGGGCCAATGCAGAGAGCGCAGATTTGGGAGAGACTCAACACCAGGCTGGCAAATTTTTCTGTCCCAGGCAGTCCTGAAGGCCATCTATTTAAGGGAATCCTTACACCAGCACACGTACATGGAGAAGTAATACCCACAACCAAACAAATTACAGACCCTTTCTGTGTTTGTCAAGTTAGAGAGGTGAATTGGGTTTGGTGGAAGGTTGTTGACTTCACAGATACGGTCTCTCCATTATGGCGGTTTCCTTGCAGAGATGATGTGGCACAGATAGCATCAGAAAGAAGGCTCCCCAACTGCTTCTATGCTCTTGAAGCTCCTTCAGATGGTGAAGCTGCACCAACCCAACAGAGCCGTGAGTGGTACCATTGATGTAGCCTTGCTATGGCTAAAGACGTTTGTAGTGAGGTGACTTCCCCTTGTACATCTCCCTCTTTCCCATCTCCAACCTTTGCTCCAAGCACCTAGATAGACCTTCAGGAAAAATGGCTTAACTTGAGACTAATAATAATAATAACAATAATAATAATAGCTAATATTTATATAGCACTTACCATGTGCCAGGCATTGTGCTATGTGCTTTATAATGATTATTTCATTTGCTCCTCACAATAACCCTCAGAGGTAGGTGCTATTATAACTCCCATTTTAGAGATGAGGAAACTGAAGCCAATAGAAGTTAAATGACTTGCCCATGGTCACACAGCCAAGTCAGAGTCTAAGGTAGGATTTGAACTCAGGTCTCCTTAACTCCCGGCTCAGCACTCTCTACACTGTGCCACCTAACTACCTACAAACATGCCAACACACCCTCTAGCCAGGAAAGGTTGAATTTGTTCTTCTAATCGTGTCTGGGTTGAGGTTATAGTCATCTCCCAATCAACGAATCGACCAACAAGCATTTATTAAGGACCTATTACGTGCCAGGTAAGGTGCTAATGGCTAGGGATATAAATACAAAGAATAAAACTTCCTACTTTCAAGGAGCATCCATACCTCTATTGGAAAATGTCTGTCAATGATAGGGAGAGGCTGGGTCTCATATCCTGCTTTTGGCTTATGTCCTGGGGCTCTTCTCCAAGTCATCGAGTGAATGAGAATATATTAAATGCTTAATGTGTGCCAGGCATTTTGTAAAGTGCTGGGGATGCAAAGAAAAGCAAAAATAGACCCTGCCCCCAAGAAGCTCACAATCTCCTGGATCTCTCCTTTCTCATTTTTTCTTATCATCTTCATCCCCTGATTCCCAGTCCCCAAGAACAGTGCAGAGGATGCACCGAAGAGTAATTGTTCACTTGCCCTTCCCTTTAGTCTTCCCCAGTTTGCCAAATGGGGGAGCAGCTTCTGCCCTTATGAGGTGCAGAGTGGCAATCCCAATCAATAGTTTTCTTTATACAAATTTTCATCTAATTTTTCAATGAACAAATACTTATTTCCTCTCCCTCTCACCCCGCCCTCACTGGAAAGGAAAAAGAGAAACGAAAACCTTGTTACAAACACATCTAGTCAAACCAAACAAGGTCCCACATTGGCTATATCCAAAAATCAACAGCTGTTTTCCCACATAGATTTTACCTGTTCCTGAAAAGCAATGGCTTGTTCCGCGAATCCCACCGTACGGAAATAATTGACAACATCTATTACATCCCAGTCCACAGGGTCAGATGATCTCCCGTTCTCTACGGCACTGCAAAATGCAAATTCAGAAAGACAGATGGTCACCATGGCTGGGCGCAGGATATGCCCAAAGCATCAAGGACAGCACTCACTATGTGGGCCCCTACTTGCAGAGCCATGGCCAACTCATTGAGCTCTGCAAATCCTCCCTCCTCTCTCAGAGGGCCCACGTGGCAATTAGCATGCCCTTCAGCCATCTTTCAGTATTGCTCCCTTGTGCTCTCTGCAGGCCAGCCATACATGCACTAATCTCCAGAACTAGAAAACCAATATACCCTGTCCTTATCAACTCTTAGAGATTTAAGACAAGAGACTAGCCCAGGGCCCAGAGCACACTAGGTGTGCTTAGTTAACAGGTGTGGAACAAATGAATGAGAGAAAATGTGGGATGTCATTTACCAGTTCTTATCCTGGTTAGGGCTAAGGAGTTCTATAAGGCAATGGGGCATATATTTTATGACCTTTGAGTTTAGCTGATGTTCTGCATTTCCATAGGGAAGCATGGCAGGAGGAGAGGAGGGGGGAATACCAGCAAGGAGGAACAGCTAATGAAGGTGACAACTGGCAAGGTATCTGGAGGATCCATCTGGCTTCCTTTATAGAGTTTGTCCAACCCTGAGTAGAGAGAGATGCACTGCTCGTATCTGAGGTCCACAGGATTGAGGATTTTAAACTGGAAGGACCTCATACTTCACCTGAAGTTGGATTATTTGCATCCTTACTTGGTAGCGTGGAATAAGCAATATAACTAGAGTAACAGAACCTGGACTCGTATACCAGCTCTGTCCCTTATAAGTTACCTGGTTTCTTCATCTACAAAATCAGATGGGTGGAGTCGATGACATCTAAGATCCCTTGAAGATCTAAATATCACATAAAAGGAGATCTCTCCTATGGTCTTGTACCTATATCGACTTTTTTGGTCTGAAATTATTAGTTGGGTCATTCCATTTATGTCCATTCATTTAGCCTTTTCTCCATGGGAGCTGTTTAGCATTGAGGCATCTTCTATCATGGCTAGCTAGCTAGCTTTCTTTCACCCTCCAACAGCTGTGGGTGGTTCATCCTAATTTAGGTCTATTTTCTTATCCTTAAACTTTAAACTATTTCGGCTGGTCTTCCTCTGTTATTTCTGAATGAAACCGGTCTCAGACTGTAGGGATAGGGCCAAGGTAAGCATAATCTTCTCTCTTTTCTCACCATACCCCTGCACCCTCCCCTCCCACCCCAGCAGTCCAGGAGGGTCTCTCCATCATTGTATTCTACTTGGAAAGAACCTCACACTGGATGGAAGTTAGACTTTGCTCTGCCCTAAGTGCTTTGTGACCATGGATGGATCAGAATCTCTCAGCGTCTTATCTACAAATCCCATCTAGTTATTTATCAAGGTGCCAGGGCCTGCTGAGTGTGAGTACCTTACCATTTACACCCTCCGCCCCACCAGGAGCAACAAGTCTTTGGCTCTCTAGACTAGGACTCAGACCTTGAGAATCCAGAATTTTAGGAGTTAGACGTGATGTCAGGACTCATCTAGTCCAACCTACGCATAAAATGAATTCCCTCAGAAGTGATCCCCTTCTCCATCCTAAAAGAATTGGGGCCTGGCACGGAACAGAACTGCCATGACTGGTAAGTAAAAATTCACCTCAGTCTACTATATCTATGAGGTCCCAGACCATGCTTTATATCCCAAGTAGCCATGTACTAGGACACCAGGGCCTAACCAGCCATCTATCACTGTTCACTCTTCTTTCCACCTCTTGCTCTCAGAACAATAATCAGATCAGTACGACTATTCCTACTAGGAAGAGAATGACAACTGCCCCATGGTTCCATTCACAATCCTTGTGACTGCCCATACGCAAACTCCCTTTCCTGGCCACCACTCCTCTCCTCCTGATAGAGTGGAAGCTGCTTGAAGGCAGGGTTGTTTCATTTTTGTCTCTTCTATACTCAGTTTCTGGCAGCACAGAGGACAGAGCATGGAATTTGGAGTCGGGAAGACTCCAGTTCAAATCCTGCCTCGGACATTGACTTGGCTGTGTGATCTTGGGCAAGTCATTTAACTTCTCTGCTTCTCGGTTTCCTCATCTGTAAAATGGAGATGATATTAGTACCTTATATCCCAGGGTTATTGTGAGGATCAAATGAGTTGACATATGCAAAGTTCTTTGCAAACTCTAAAATGCTTTGTAAATGATAGCTATTGTGATTATTTATAAATACTTGTTGACCGATCCTCCATCAGAACCTATGTTCTCTGAGGGCAGGGACTTTTCTTTTTATATCTGCAAGGGACTTGATAGGCCTACCAGCTTAATACCTCCCTCCTGATTAACTGACTTGATAGATTAAAGTAACACTCACCCCAGCCCCACTCCTGACTTCACTGGACTGCTTGGAGGATCAATCAATAAACATTTATTAAGGGTCTATTATGTGCCTGGCATTGTGCTAAATGCTGGGGATACAAAAAGAGGCAAAAGACAGTCCTTGCCCTCAAGGTGCTCAAATCTCAGTTCTCTGTCTCTAGGACCAGAGCATTTCCCACAGTAGCAAGCTGCCTCCCCACACCTAAAAACTTCTCTGTACCTCACCCCACCTTCTTCTCTCCTTTTATTTGAGGGGAAGAGTTCTTAACTAAGACTCCACTTGTGCCCAAGGAGCATTGTTTACACTGAAAAATGCAATCTCTTCAAGGGTGGGAGCTATGTAATTATTGTCTTTGAATCCCTGGAACCTACTACCAGACCTGGTCCTTAAAAATGTTTGTTGATTAATTCCCTCCTATTTCCTCCTTGATCTTCTCCATTGTGGCACTTTCACTCTTACATCTTTAATCTCTTCTTCACTCTCTCCTCCTCTGCTTAGATCCTCTATCTTAAAAAAAAAAAAGTTTTTTCTCAACCTTTCTAACCCCTCAGGCTACTATCCCTCTTCTTTCCTATCCTTCAATGCAAATTTCTACAAAGAAAGTGTTATATTAACTCTTTCTCCTTCCTCCCTCAACACCTACTTTAAGTCATCAGTCCCTTACAATCTGGATCCCTTTCAGACCGCTCAGCTGAAACTACCTTTGGCAAGGTCACCAAAGGCCTCCTCATTGCCAAATCAAATGACTCTTATAGTTAGCATTTCTAAAGCACTTTAAGGTTTGCAAAGCACTTTCCAATTATCTCCTTTGAGCCTCCCAACAGCTGTGGGAAGTAGGTGCTATTATTATCCTCATTTTATAGATGAGGAAACAAGGCTAACTGAGCTGAAATGACTTGCCCAGGGACACATGGTTAGTACATGTCAGGCTGGATTGGCACCCAGGTCTTCCTGACTCACTAATTTCATTTAAAAATATTTCCATTGATGGTCCCCCAAGCTTTTAAATAGGATGCATTTAGGAAAGGCAGTATAGCCAAGATCTTGCTTTCTCTACGCAGGCTTCAGATTGAGGGGGAAGAAAAAACCCCAAATCACCAATGGGGATATTTAAGAGATGAGCAGAGAAATGAGTGCTCCACACACCCATTTCAACCCTCCTTAGCTACCTGGCAAAACACAGCTTCAAAGCTCAGAAGGTTCTATTCAGAGTCTAATTTTCCCTGAAGCATTGCCTTGCATATGGAAGGCAATCAGTGAAAGGCTTGATTGGATTCTTAGGAGGAACATCTTAGAACCGACAAAGTTTCTGGCTTCCAGGTAAGGAAAAGTGGCTTGCCAAATCTATGATGTGTGACTTACTTAGGATATGAGGATCATAGATTTAAAGCTGGAGGAGACCATTCAGCCCGACTCCTTCTATAGATGAAGAAACTGAGACTCAGAGAGGGTACATGACTTATACTGCTAGTGTCTAAGGCAGGATTTAAACTTAGGTCCTCCTGACTCCACATCCAAAACATTTTTTTTTTAAATTACATATCCAACCAACAGCAAATGGTATGTACAGTACAGTGGAAATGCCAAAGGTCTTAGAATTGGGGATCCTAGTGTTATGTTTCTGGTTCTGCCACTCATCAGCCACGTGACTGAAGACAAGTCATTTATCCTCTCTGGGGGCTCCTTTCTCTGTAAGAATACGGGGTTTAGACTAGATGACCAGAACACGGACAAAAACAACAAAGTTTCCTCCAGCTTTAGGTGTTGATCCTGTGACTGACTTCTGAGGTCCTTTCTAGATTTATAGTTCTATGATCCTATGAAATTTTAATTGTGCATTGCTTCTGTACATTGTCCAATTAGTGTATGCTCAGGGAAGGTAAATTATCTTTATACCAGTTTATGCTAATTGCTTAAATGAGCAATTGAGTTACTCTCTTAAAAATAATTTGATGTTTTTTTCCCCCAGTTCCCCTCTCTTCCATTATTTCATCTGCATAAACAACAAAGAACTGGCTTATCTGTGTGTACATCTTAAAAAGGTATCATCTTTCTGTCTTAGCAATTCAGCCCAGTCCAACAAACCTTTATTAAGAACCTACTAGGACTGTGGCACATGATTGTGATGGAGTACTATTGTGCTTTAAGAAATGACCAGGACCCACATGTACAAAACTATTTATAGCAGGGCTTTTTGTGGTGGCAAAGAATTGGAAATTGAGGGGATGCCCATCAATTGGGGAATGGAAAAACAAGTTGTGGTATATGAATGTAATGGAGTACTATTGTGCCATAAGAAATAATGAGCAGGCAGATTTCAGAAAAATCTGGAAAGACTTACATGAACTGATGCTGAGGGAAGTGAGCAGAACCCGGAGAACATTGTACATAGTAACAGCAGCATTGTGCAATGATCAGCTATGATTTAGCTCTTCTCCGCAATACAATGATCCAAGACTCATGATAGAAAATGCTATCCACATCCAGAGAAAGAACCATGGAATCTGAATGCAGATCAAAGCATACTGTTTTCACTTTTTTTTTGGTTTTTGTTTTCTTGTGGGTTTTTCCGTTTTGTTCTGATTCTTTTTTCATAACATGACTAATGTGGAAGTGTGATTAATGTGATTGCACGTT